TACAAATAGAATAATCTGAAAYATACTGGGTTTGAGTGAAGTATTTACAGCTTAAAGAGAACTCACTAGATTTACAGCTAAAACCCAGTCTTACACAAGGATGGTTAATGAACAAGATCTTGCTGGTTCTGGGAGCTGAAATGGAGAAGGTTTGCTTCCAGTCATTCTAACTGGGGAAGGTATCCTCTTTCGTGAAACCCTACCCATGCACACGCTTTCTGCGCCGGTGGAACAGGGAAGGTGTTGCACGCTCCACACAGTGCAACCACGTTCAGCATGTCTACGGTTCTGTTCTTTACGGGTGGCTTGCTGATACAATGCTAGCTCTTGAAGCACATCTAACAATGAGATAGCTGGCATAATGGGCAGTTTCAATAGGAAAAAAAAAGGGGGGTAATTCTTGATTTCAGCATGTGTAAATGCATGTGATACAACCTTGCGTGCTTTACGGTCTGGAAGCGTATTGCATGACGTTCTTGGATTTGCTGTCTCGTGGGAGGAAGGATGCTTAGGTGCTTTTTCCGAGCGCGTGTAATTTACTGTGACACTCCTTGCTGCAGGATGATATTGTCATCAAAGGTTTGTGTTTCAAGAAGAGATGAGAAAAACTGAGGAAAGAAGAGTCTGTCAGGTATTGCATAGATCTTGATGTTGCCGACTGTGATCAGGAAGGACCTGGAGAGATACTGGGAAAGTGTTGCCACATGTTTGGCCTATTTTCTACTCTTCTTCAGGCATAAGCAATGTGCCATTGTCCTCATTGGTTTTCACAGTAAGAAGACTTGGCATAGAAGTCTAAATGCTGTCCTGGATGTAGAACAGGAGGAGGAGGGGTGCAACCACAGAGATCAGATCCACCTCTGTATGAAGCAGAGTCTCAATATGGAGAACGTGAGAGAGTGTGGAGAATACAGATGTTTGGAGAAAGACTAACAGAATATTCAGATTGTTGTCTGTGGGATAGGTGCCAAAGCCTGAAGTTAGGAGGCCAGAGGTGAAGGGTGGCTCAGGACACATGACTTCTGCAGAAACCCTGCATATTAGGAGCAAGGTAGGGGATCCAGGACACTCTCATCTCCTGGATCAGTTAGTTGAGGGTTACCTAGGGTGGACCTCCCCATATGCAAACTGAGCAGAATGGGACCTACTTGATCTTGTTGACTGCAATCTAGGGGGTACCTGGTATTGATGATGCTGGCCGGGACCTTTTGTCGCAGGAATAATCTTGCAGGATGTTTAAACTTAAATATAATRTAGTTTGGTTGGGAGTAAATTGACTTGATTTTTCTCCATCCAAACATGGGTGAAAAAGGCTCTTGTCCAAGTTTGGTTATGTCAAAATGACCCAGAAAGCAGTCACCCATGAGAGATCCTCAGAGTACTGTGACCCAGCATTCTCTCTCCCAGTGTCATCCTGTTGATTCACCGTGATACAATCCCGGTACAGGCTTCATGAGGATCCAGGCATCTGAGGAATCTGGACAGCTGCTGAAGTGCCTGTGCTCCGGGCCTAGCATTGACATGTAGATGATTACATAACAGTGCACGGCTGGCCATAGATACAGGAAGAACAGGTTCACCACTCAACTCACGGAGATTTTGGTTGAAGTGGCCTAACTGGGCCTTTTTCTTCTCCTCTAGCCATCAGAGACTCAAAGCTGCACTAAAATCAGAGTACTGCAGGAATGCAGTGTTGAGAACACAGGAGTGATGGGAAGTATCTCTGTAATACGGAGACTCACCTGAAATCCCAAGGTGTTTAGTGATGCTGTTTGATGACGTGTCATGATGGGCCCTTGAGATCAGGGAAACCATTCTGGAAACTGAACTCCTCTCCAAAGGCAAGGGGGTGCTGTGAAGGCTGCTCTCTAGCAGCATGCCGTGTATTGGCTCCTTGCTCCTTGGCCTTGCTGCTGATGGGAAGTCAGGGGGACAGGCTAAGGCAAGGACTAAGGAAAGGGCCTTTGTGCCACCATCCTGAGGACAACCATTTTGGGTGCCAGGTTTGGGTGCTCTGAGGAGGCTGCACCTGGAGCATTAGGGGCAGTTCTGGGCTCCCCAGGACAAGAGGGACRTGGAGCTTCTAGAGAGGGTCCAGCAGTGACCCTTGAGAGTGACAAAGATGACAAAGGGACTGGAGCATCTCTTGTATGAGGAAGGACTAAGCAAGTGGGACCTGTTTAGCCTGGAAAAGAGAAGGCTGAGAGGGAATCYTACCAATACATACAAATACCTGAGGGGAAAATGTAGGGAGGATGGGGCCAAACTCTTCTCAGTGATGGCCAGTAGCAGGAGAAGGGGCAATGGGTATAAGCTGAAACACAGGCGGTTCCATCTCCATATGAGGAAGAACTTCTTTTCTGTGAGGGTGACAGAGCCCTGGAACAGGCTGTCGAGGGAGGCTGTGAAGTCTCCTTCTCTGGAGATCTTCCAAACCTGCAGAGATGTGACCGGGTGCGCCATGCTCCGGGTCTCCCTGCTGGAGCAGGGGGTTGGGCTAGATGATCCCTAGAGGTCCCTTCCAACCTTAACTATTCTGTGATACTGAGGTAAGAGAGGCCAAAGCCCACTGCCTGGAGGTGCTTATTCCCCTAGGTGGCAGAGGTCTAACTTTGGAAATAGTGGSTAAGTCACAACTGTAGGAGTAGAGTCCTCTCAGGAACCCAGTCATGAACCCTGTTCCAGCACTGACCAGGGATTTGGAGCCCCACAGCCTGTAGGAGGAGAGGGACYGTGACTCCCTGTGGCTGCCTGTGGCCAGCTCCAGCCCTCTGATCCTCTGTTGAAGAGGTCTCTCCTCAGGGCAGGGGGTCCTCAGGGTCTCTCAGTGTTCATTCACAGCATTTTTTTTGCCAGTTCATCTCCCATCATCATGAAGATGAAAGTTTGGTCACATACATGGATTTGTGGCTCTAGCTGACCACCTTCAGGAGAGGATGAGAAGGACAGTGGCAAAAGCAGAGATGTATCTCCCCAAGATAGGCCCTCTCCTTGGCATATCCTCCAATAACATCCCTGAGGACCCCACCTGGTCACTGTCATTAGCGGAGGTGTCCTCTGGCTGTGGTGCTCCACATGGTATTGCACTGGACATCACATTAGGGCGTCTGGGGAACACAGGCTCCAGCCCTTGGTGCTGCCACCCTCGTTCAGGAGTTGGCAACTCAGCAGCTTTTCTCCAAGCCAAGACAGCCCTCCCAGCTGCACCACTGGCCTTGGAAGAGGAAGTACAGAATTCACATCTTGCAGCAGTGCAACCAAGAGGCATATTTACCATACAGCATGGAGCACACTCCTAGACCTCCCATACCACAAGCGGTCAGCTGCATTTAAGTGATGAAATACTGCTGGAAGGAAAACATAAGGCAAAGGGGAAACTCTCTATCACCCAGCAGAACTGATAGCCAAAAAAAGAAAAAAAAAAAAAAAAAAAACACCCCACAAATGTGAGGGGAAGATTGAGGAACAAGCTGAGCTGAAGGGAAACAAAGGGCAAGAATGAAGCCCTTCACCAAGACTGCACCTGAACCACCCATGGGCTCCAGTGCTAGAATGGGATGATGAGTGGAAAACCAGGGAAAGACACATCAGGCATCCAGATAGTGTGGGAGACACTCTGGATGTGCTCTCTGGATGGGGCAGAAGCAGCGTGGCTGCACCTGGTGACACGGTGGCTGTGGAAACAGAGGCAACGACCTGGGCAGATACCTGGGAGAAGAAAACGCTGTGAGGCCAAGCAATTAGAAAGATCTCTCCTGGGAAAGGAAATATGATACATGACCTAGAAGAAAAGAGGAGCAGTAATGGAGATATGCCTACTCTGACAGGAAGGAACAATTTGTGTGTGCGTTTGTGTGCATGGGGAGTTAAAGCAATCAATGGAGGCATGAGAATCAAGGACAGGAAAGGACCAGTGTGTGTGGGGATGTAAAAGGGGAGGAAGACCSAGTGCAGCCCCACACTAGACTTTTGAGCAGAAACCAATGTTTAGAGCAATCGGCAGGGTTGGCAGGAGAGTCTGAAGGGGAAAAGAGCCTAGAAATGGGGGCAAACTAGAACAGGAATGGGGGCAGATCCACAAGAGTGTGAGCACGTAAGAAGAGGAGAACAGGCAAGTTCTGGGAGAAATTCAGCAAAGTCTCCTTGCATGGAAAGCTGTCACTGTGCAGTGGCAGCCTCATTTTATGATACTCCCCAGTAAAGGTTGTTTAATTTCCAGCACACAGGATAATTGTAGCATGAGCAGATGTGACTAGAGATGACGGGGGGGATAAACACCCATAAAATCACGAATAGTATGGGGAAGCAACAACACCTGTCAGCACGTCTCGCAAGAGAGGACCCATATGGGCGTCGAAGGCACAAACAAACAAAAGCAGCTCGTGTGGTTTATGCCCAGGTTGGCAGCAGGAGGGACTAGCCTCGGAGGAAAGATTTCTCAGTAGCTGTTAGGAATGCCTGAGTCATCTTCCAGCTGATGAAGTCCCTGAGCTGCCTCTTCAGATATTGCTCTGCTGTGCTGCTTCATTTCTGTGGTGAGCCTTCACGAGGTGTCTAGCTGATCAAGGTTGCTGAGGGTGATAATGCACTTCTGCTCCTGACCCTGTTTGTGCGTCTGTGCTGCTTCTGCTGCACCACTTCTGATGTTTGTCCAGCTCATTAAACCGGCAGAAAATCATCTCAGAGGGTGAATTCCTCTCTGCCAGGTTAGTGAGCTGAATCAGCCTTCTGAATTGGCGATATCCATCAAGTGAAAATTTCCTGCTTTTCTTTTCAAGGAGGACTAAAATGTTGATTGTCTTTTTAAAGAGAAGTTGAGATTCTCATGCTAATACCTGATTCAAGGAATTCAGGCTTTAAGTATTTATAACATCAGAGTCATGATAAGATCATCATATTTATTTCATTAGCTTCTAAAAGCTCCTGACAAGGGTGGAGCCTCACCTGTGCTAGGTGCCACACACAGTTTAGGACTGCTATTAAACACAGTAAGTAGGAAAAGGAAGCAGGTGCTTGTTTGTGTGGACAGCAGTGCTGTAGAGCTTGTTACATCATTATCAGCACTCTGTATGGCAACCAGAGTAAGTCATTTGTCTCTGCAAATGTTTCTGGTTTCTAGGATCAGCAGGATAACACCATGAACTCCTCCAGGAGCCCACATCCATGTCAAGGCACGGGAATGAAGGCATTGCTCTCTGAGAAGCAAGCAGCAACATCAGTAGGTTGATAGGTTCAAACCACTGGCATCTTCCTCTTGTTGGAAAAGCCTATRTTCTGGCATTACGGCCATCCTCAGACAGAGGATCTTCACCCCTGCTTTCACCAGGATCTTAAGGAGTCAGAACCTGGCATATCTGGAGAACACAAGGATGGGGAGTGGCAGCTGCTGGAAGTTATAAACAGGATCTGCACACACTGAGAGCCAGGTTTGTCTGAATGCATTAGATATCACTGGTATGGACTCTCACATACAATTCACTGGGTTTACCTCTGTAGACAGGTGTTGCTGTTAGAGTAGAGTGAGTTTAAGGGGTATCTGTCCTCCTCCTGGAGCAGACATCTTAAAAATTTCATCTGAGTAGTCATATTTGTGGGAGCAGGTGGTGCATTTGAGAGTGTTGAGGATGCTTGCCAGTGTAACTGCATGCTCACTCTGTCATCTTTGTAATGTTCCAGTGATCAGATGTTCCTGGTGATTAAAAAAAAAAAAAAAAAGGCAAATGTCATACCCATTATCCAGAATGGAAAGGAGGATCCATGCAACTATGGACTGGTCAGCTTCATCTCTATGTCTGGGAAGGCTGTTGAGCATATTCTGGAAGCAATTTCCAAGCACATAAAAGACAAGAAAGTGAGTGGGAGCAGCCAGAAGGGTTTATTGAGGGCAAAACCTGCCTTTCCAATCCGATAGCTTTCTACAATGAGGCACCTGTTTGCATGGACAAAAGAAGAGCCCTGGATGTATTCTGATTCATCTTACCATTGGTTTTAGCAAGACCTTTAATGTGGTCTCCCACAGTCTCCTTATAGTCAAACTGGTGAGATATGGTCCAGGTGGGTCCAGAGTAGGATATGAAGTGAATGGAAACATTTCTGGAACGCTGGTCTCAAAGATTCGTGCTCCACAACACGAAGTCCAATTAGTGTCTGGTTATTAGGACCATCCTTCATAGACACACATTGAGGAGGGTAACTGCTTAACGTCTTTAACAAGAAGATGCTGTGCACTCTCAGCAAGTTCATAGACAACAACAGTTTGGGGAGAGCTACTGTTGTGCTGCAGGATAGGACTGCTTTTCAGAAGGACATTGCCAGGCTGGGGAAAAGGGGCTTCCTCTCAGTGGCAGTTGCTGACAAAAGAGATGTTGGGAAGAACATGACTGCCACCACCAGAAGCTGGACATGGCGTGTCTGTGAACAAGGCAACCGAGAGGAAACCTGTCTGAGAAGGCTTTTAACTTCATTAGCTACTAACCTACATTTCTTCCTTCTGTTTCAACAGCGATGAAAAGTTAAATGAATTTTGCTGAAGCTGTTGGGAATTCCTCACCTCTCAGCGACTTGAGCTATTGAGCATCTGCAACTGGAAGGTCATAAGGGAAACTACTGGGGACTGTAGCTACTGCCACCATTCCTGACACTACTTCAAGAGCATTCAAGGTGTCCTGCAAAGCGGGTACGACTGGCTGCTGTTTATAACATTTGTTCCTTCCTGCCCACACTCACAAGGAGCTATCTTCTGATAATTTAGCATAGCAGTATTACTGCAACATACATGCTTGCCATGGCCATGTTCCCTCCACAGGGCAAGATTTGCCTTAGGTTTATCCTGGGAAGACTTTCCTTGTTTTGCCTACCTTCAGCTCATTCCTCATGGCTGACACTCTTGCCCATTTGTAGGAATATGCTGCACTGAAATTTTATTGCAGYATGCTGCTGTGAACACACACGCTTTGACTTTTCTTTAGCTAATTCTGTTTTTAATTCTACACTGTCACTGGCATAATTGTATCTGCTGGGACAGTCATAATATGTACCTCAATACAAAATGTTTACAAATTGTAAAAATACAAATACAGAAAGCCTGAGAGGCACTTAGAAATCATGCAGCCCTCATGTMCCTTTTGTGAAATACTTTTGTGTACTCCTGACTGCATGGACTATTAATGACATGGTAAATATGGACATTGATCTCTGTGACATGGCAGCCTCCTCCTTTCAACTCCAAAGCCATAGGATGTTATTTATCTTTCATTTATGGTTTTTAGCTAATGTTTCCTGTGGCAGTTTTATATCACAGGTTTTTCAAATATGATTTCCTGAAGCACTCTATCAAATATTTACCAACAATAAGAATGATGTGTGTGCCTTTCTGAATTAGCCTAATCAAAGGGCCCAGCTTTTCGCTCTTGAATTACACAGGATATCATTAAATGCCCAAAGAAGACCTAAGAACAAAGACTAAAAATTAGCAGTTGGTCATTTTCAGTGCTATGATATATTGTCACTCGGCTCATCACTAGAAGTTTTAAAGAACAGTCAAGGCAGGACAACCAAAAGTATAGTTGATTCAGACAGAGCAAACTGGATGGATGCTCTTTGCCAACCAGACAGACACAAGCTCCCCTCGTCCTCTTTTATCTTGAGACTTCTATCCTCATGCTCTGTGGGCCAAGCTACAGGCTGCTGCAGAGGTCACTGATTGTGTTCAGGCTCCAGGAGGTGTGGAAATAGCTACCTTGACACCAAGCCCAGGGATTTTCCCTAACCAATCCTGCAACACGGTTTGTGAAAGCATGACAAAGTTGCAGCCTTGGGTAGCACTGCCCTCGGGAGGCAGGATGGTGAAGGAGAAGGTGAACAGTCAGCACGTATTTATCAAGGGTAGATCATGGCAGGCAGTAGATTCCTTTCAATGATAAAATGACCGGATTTGTGGATGAGGGAAAAAAATGGGTGTCATTTACCTTGACWTTAGTAAGGATTTTGACATTACCTCCCACAATATCTTTGTATTGTCCCATTTGGGACATTGTGATCTGGATGGCTGGACAGTGTGACAGCAAGCAGAGTGCCGTGGGGGGATATCCTGGGACTTGTCCTGTTCAACAGCTTTCTCAATGACATCAGTGACCKGGGGGAGGTGAAAGGCTGCCCTCCTCTCAAGTTTTAAGATGTCACTAAACTTGGAGAAACAGTTCATACACTCCAGGGCAAGGCCACCATTCAGGCTGGAGAAGTTGGATGGCACAAGCTTCATGAAATGCAGCAAAGGACAAATGCAAAATCTGGCAGCTGGGAAGGAAGAATCCACTGAAATTATCCATACTGGGTATTGACTGGCTGAGTTATAGCTCTGCTAGAGGGGATGTGGGGGTAAGTTGGCAGTGTGCTGAGAGCATCCTGGGCTACATTAACAGAAGGTGATCAAGGGAGGTGACTATTCTGCTCTACTCGGCGTTTGTTACAACACATACAGAATGCTGAGCATAGTTTTGGGCCTCTTAGTACAAGATGGACATTGATAAATTGGAGTGATGTCAGTGGGGTGCGACCGAAATGGTCAGGAAACAAGCACTTGCTGACGGAGGGTAGAGGGAGAAGCTGAAGAAACCAAGGTTACTCCCCCTGGAAAAGAAAAGGCTTTGGGGGAACCCACCAGCAGCACCACCTCTGTACCCAGGCTCTTCACAGTTGTGCACTTCCAACTGTGCAGGAAAAGACAACGTGCGTAAGAGACAACGGTAAGTTGAAACAAGAGAGGTGCTAATTGGATTTAAGGACAATCGTTTTCATCATGAGGTCAGTCAAGTGTTGRAACAGATTACTCAGAGTTGTGCATCCTCATGCTTAGAAGTATGAATGATACAAAACTGTATAAAAATTATATTAAACAAATATAATACACATGGATATATTGTCTTTATACAGGTTATGTCTGTGACAGAATCCTCGCACTACAGAAATGCAGGTTAGAGGGGACCTCCTCCACTTGCCTAGCTCTGCTCCATCCCATTCCCTTGCCACAGACGAGGATTGTGACTGATCTTTCTCTGACTGGTTCTTAGACTTCCAGCGATAGTGACTCAACATCCACCCCAACAACTTCACTATGGAAGTTTTTATTGATACTTCATCTAATTTTTYCCTGGATAAGTCCCTGATTTCTTACCTTACTGACTATAAGCTGAGAACAGATCATTTCATTTGTCTTGGCAGCTCTCTCTTCTATATATGAAGACTATTATGGTCTTGCCTCAGCCTTCACTCTCCCAATTCTTTCAATCTTTTTTTTCTCATGAAAGCCTGAAAAAATATTCTTTTTATTGTCGCATTCATAGGCACTTCCTTGCTCCCATGCAGAGTGCCAGGGTGCCCACGCGTTAAGACACAGCAGGGTGCAGCTAGGTAGAGTTGCTAACAACATTTTTATGGTTTTTTTTTTGCTATTGAAAGAAATGTGCACCAGAACCAAAAAAGGAACCTGAGCTTCTTCAATCTCCCTTCCAAGGTCCCTGTCACTCCCCACAGACACTAAATTGTCTATTTCAGATTGTGCATGCAAAAAATAAATAACAAAAATATAAGATCAAGGTAAATTTCAATATTTTTCATGCTATTTATTTTGGCTATTCTATTCATGATAAGATGTGTAAAATAATTTCAAATTACCAAACTTTCTGGAGTTCACCAGGAGTGTAGCAGAAAATGTAAAATGCACAATCATGAAGGTCCCACCAAACTTAGATATTTGTTAAGTCTATGCCCTGTTGCTTATAGTCAGATTGTGTCACACAATTTCTGAAAAAGTTAATGGCTTTACTAATTTCAAATGGATAGGATACATGCCATAGGAAATACAGGCATTAGATCCCATTCTACAGAAATGTTCTCTGCCTACATAATTTGCTAATAATATACACCAGAAATACTGAAGTCCTGCAGATAAGCACACATTCCTCTCCCATCAGGTTACAAAGGCATGGCAGAACTGGGCAATATCTTATCATACAAACTCAGCTTTCTGCTTCTTTCATTCTTTACAAAGCTCATTTCCTATTTTGATATCAGATATACACAGGATCACTGCAGAGACCATAAACAAATTCTACTGTGGGATATGGAACTCCAGACAGAAAGTATCAAATTGGCAAGGARTTGTCAGGTACATGCACAACACAGGCTAGCAGAGGAGATGGCAGTTTCCAYCCCTTAATTCGGGAATAAAGGTACAGAAAGTCTTCGAGTAGGCTGTGAGATTGTACAGAGATCAGTAACAAGAGGAGAGGATCAAGACGAGCACTTTTTGAAATGCATTACTTTTTGGAAAGCCTGTTTAAATTCTTCATTAAAAGCTGTGTAGATGACTGGATTGATCAGTGAGTTTAGGTAACCTAACCATGTAAAAAAGTCCAGTAGGACGGGATGAAACCAGCAAGCATCCTGACAGATCGGCAGGACTAAGGACATGACAAAAAATGGCAGCCAGCAGATAATGAAAGCTCCCAGAATAATGCCTAGAGTTTTGGTGGCCTTTCTTTCTCTGGCAGCAGAAATTCTTTTCCTTTCCAGGACACTGTCTGCAAGTTTTATTTTAACATGACTGATGAATAATGGGGATCCTCCTGAATGCCCTTCRTGCAGGCTAGAGCTGATGGAGCAGAGAGAAGACCCAGTAGAGCCAGTAATCAGGTGTGCAGTAGTAAATCGTTTCCCATATAACGAAGGTGGCTTCAGAATCCTAGATCGAGCTGCTACATAAATTCTACCATACAATATTACAAGGAGTACGGTTGGGATGTAGAAAGCTCCACAGGTTGAGTAAATTGTATAGGGAATCTGATCCGTGTTCACAGTACACTTTTCAATTTCTTCATGAGCTTTCTCTTGTCTCCAGAAAAGTGGTGGCACAGAAATACTGATAGAGATCATCCAGACCACGGCAATCATGAGTGCTGCGCGGCCAGCAGTCCGGCGTTTGGCATATTCCAAAGCATCCGTGATAGCCCAGTATCTGTCCAGCGCAATGACGCAGAGGTGTAGGATGGAAGCCGTGCAGCACGTGATGTCTGAGGACAACCAGATATCGCACAACACTTGGCCGAAGGCCCACGTGTGGGTGACAGTGTAAGCAATACTGATGGGCATCACCAGCACGGACACTAAAAGATCCGTCACCGCCAAGGAACCAATGAGGTAATTTGCAGGTGTGTGGAGCTTTCTAGTCAGGATAATTGTAATGATGACAAAAGCATTTGCAAGGATCGTTGCCAGAGTTATAACAGACAGAAGGGCTGACAGTGAAATCTTCAGCCCTAGTAGTGTCCTTTCATCCAAAGCCAGGGGTGTTTCAGTGAAATTTAATGACTTATTTGCTGTGCTCTGGAGGGAGAGCTCTGCTGAGTGGTTATACTGAGTCATTCTCTGCTCTGATTTCACTTTCCAATGTAATCTCTGCTCTAATTGCACTTCCCAGTGTAATCTTCCTTCCACAATGAAGATGTTCACATCTTGCTGAAGCAGAACTTTTTATGCTGGAGTCCAAAACTAAACAATTACTAACTTCTTGCAAATGGAATCCTGAAGAATAGATGAGATATTCTTCAAAGCTAGGTTTTCCATCACATCTTATTTGAGGCCAATGTTAAAAAGCAAAATCTTGAYGTAACCATGCAAATATGATCCTGGCATCTGACAACATAAAAGACAGCGTAAGTGGCAGTAATGCAGGTGTTTTTCATTCTAATCTTACAACTTCTAATGTACTTGAAKACAAAATCATTCTTTATTATCTTCTCCTCGCACCTCTTTTTTGTAGTGATCTTCTGCAAAGTTGCATAACTCAGTACTGAAGAGTGAGTTGCCAAAGCAGAAACATGTAATTGATGTCCAATGTTTTGGACAAAATGATCCTCAAGATTATTTTTGCTTTCACTCCAGTAGCTGAATATCACATTTTTGTTATTTGAGGGACATTATTAGTACAGTGTCCAAGATATAATACAATACCGCCTGGATTCCTGCTGTAAACATGATTTCTGACACATTTTAAGTCAAGACAGCGCAGAGCTCTTTTCACTTACTCATCCAGGCCACTCTGTCTTTCTCTTCAGCACACATTCGGTCTTCAAATGTTGGAATCAAGTTTTGGTTACCAGAATTCAACGCTCTGGTGCTGAGGATCACAGAACATTCCAAGCACTGAGCTTGACTGAGCTTGGTTACGCCAACAGTGAATGATTCTAATGACTTGTGAGGTGGTGATTCCCTCAAAAGAGGAAGGATATGGCTGGTTATTGGTTAATGGGATCTGGAGAAAGAAAGAGAATATGTTAGCCCAGAATGATGATACAAGTAATGTGGAAGTTGAGCTATGAGTTTTAGATCAGCATTTCACAGCAACAGTCTTTCCCTATGCTTCTTCAGACTCACTTAGTGTAACCTGAAATCCTTATAAGCCAGAATAGAACTATCTAAAAAAGCTTGCCCTGAGACCTTAAGTCAGACCTACACCACTTCAGTAATGCAAGCTCATTGTTTCATGAAAGAGATTCAGAACAGGAGTCTGGAATGGGTTGAACGTATGCTCCGAGGGCTRGCAAGAGAGAAGCTGAACTTCTCCAAGAATGTAATTGCCCAGGCAGGCCTCCTTCAACCACCATGGAGCAGCACCTCTTAGAATCGTCAGCGGTGTGGCTTCACCACAACTGACAAAGAACTGAGTTTTACTCAGTTAGGAATCTGTGAAGCAACAGCAGGATATTTTCTTCTAAAAAACTACAAATAATCTGCTTCAGATGAAGCACTAAAACTAATGCATCCAGCAGATGCAATTGTAACAGAAGATAACCAAAGCTTTATTGTTTTGCTTTTTTTTTTTTTTTTTTGCGAACATTCACCCTTGGTGAGTAAAACTTACTTTAAGAGAAGCCTTTTCTTTTGAGCTGTATTGTTGTGATATGGTTGGGGTTCCTTAAAAAAAAAAATCGTATTTCACACTAGACTATTTCTCTCTTGCCCTTTTTTTTTCCTTCTCCTCTTTTTTTCTTTACGTTCAGGATGATTTTCAACCTCTCTTTCTCTGTCCATTTTTCTTGCACTGAGTAAAATTGCAACTTATAATAATTTTGAAATATGAGGATGGCCACAGGCTATTTGGTCTATTTTGACAGACCAAAGCCTACCAAAGTCATCTCTCTGACACGCTAGTACCAATGTTAAGGTAGAGTATAATTACAACCTAAGCATGTAGTTGAAATTTGCCCGGAAAATGTCTCTGTATCCAGAGATTTATGGTATCTTTGTATTAACTATCCCCCCGTGCATAAATTTTTCCAGGAATTTATCCTTTTTTTTTTTTTTTTCCTGTCCATTTGTCCATTTTGAGAACATTTTAGAATTCACTATATCCTGTGATGGGGAGTTTAAAAATTCAGCTATTTACTGTGTGAATTTCATCCTTTCGCTTGTTTTAAAACTAGTTCCTCATAATTTCATTTGCTGTGTTGCCCTTGTCTTAAAGAGACAGGGAATAATCATCCCTATCCATTTTCTTCAGGCAACTGTTCATTTAATGAACCGTGTTGTTACTCTTTGTCCATTCAGTTGTCCTGTATCTGGAAGTCAGTCCATACTTGCGATCATCCCTGATGTTACTGTGTTTGTTGGTAATATCAACATTTTTCTTACTTTCTCCCTTTTCGCATCTATCTATACTCAACTCCTCCTCCCATTTTTCTACCTAATCACAAGGCTCTCTGCAAGTCTGCCRAGTCATTCCTTGTCTTTACTGCCCCAAAGAGCTTTGCTTCATCAGCAGATATCATCGCCTCAATATTCATMTATTTTCCAGATCATTTAATATATTGGATAGTCTGAGCCTTCSTTACTTACCTTATTCAAGAGTGTCTGGCAAAAGGCCTTGTCAAAAGTAAATTACATCAGTTGGACTTGACTCAATCCATATACTCATCAGCTTTTCCTAATAACTTCAACAGACTTGTATGTAAGGCATAACTTACYTTTACAAGAGCCATTTTGACTGTTCGTCAAGACATCACATTTACTATGTGTACAGTGTACACTACTGTTTATTATAGTTTCTACAAACTGGCCACATAAAAACATAAAGCTTATGAAAAAGTAGTGCCCAGATCTCTTCAGAAATCTCTTTTATAAACTGACTGTCCTGCAGTTGCCAAGTACAAAGGGGGTTTTAAGCAGAAGTTGAACACTCCAATTGATACCTTTTTTCTTTCAATCTTGATTTCCATCAGTTCTCTTCAGCAGAGCACCATCTCATAGAGAAGATTTGTTACTGCTCATTTTGCACAGCAATAGAGGTTGCAGTTATCTGCTTTTACTCAAGTGAAGAAAAATTCCTAGGGACAATTATTTTCCTCTGGAAAATCAGGAAAAGAAAATTAGTTTTCTTAAACTAGACAATTAAGACAAATAACATTCAATCTCATACAGTCAATAAATGAAGCTTAATAAAGTCAARTGCAAGATCACAGATTCAACTGTATATTAAGGGGTAAAGAATACACATATTTACAAGATGTACACTCTCAAAACACAGAGGGATGAAAAGGCCATTCAACATATTTAACTGAAAACAACATCCCGGTAGGATATGTCACCTAGATAAGGAATATATGAGATCCATAGCATAAAAGATGCATACTGAATAGCAATTGAATATATTATCACCCCTGGATAATACCATTRTTTTCATTATTTGCAAATTATGATCTATACAATTGTAGCCATGCARCCTCATTCCTAAAGTTACCTTTACAGTGCAGAAGGTATCAGCCTGTGCAGTATCTCTGGCCCCCACAGGGCAGAGCACAGCAAGTTTTCATCTCAAGACCAAACTCCTCTTAGACAGGTTGGGTGCAGTAGCACTGTCCTTGGTCCATCTCTTCCTGGCCTCCAGCTGGTGTCCTTGGCCATGGGCTATAACTACTTCTTCGAAGTGCCTGAAATAGATTTAAGGKGAGGTCATAGCCTACCAGAGTAAAATTTATACATACCTCCAAAAACACATAAAGATGGATAGGGGCCGGCCCTTCAACTCAACTTCTGTGTCTATGCTTCCTTGAAAATTCCAGGAGATTAAGAAAATTGTAATAGTGACAGCTCCGGAGAGTTTGGAGGGACTTGGTCTTTTTAGATTATGAAATATAAGTACCAATATCTTCACCACACACACAAAAAAATTAAACTGGAAAAAAAAAAATTAAGACTGCAACTTTTTTTTTTTTGAACTTAGCAGACAAAGAGAAAGTTCACATCTGGAAGGTGAAGCTGGGCACATATTCAGTGTGAGCAAAAAGAAAACATTTTTAGCAGTAGAAAATTCCCTGTCCTGAGTCTTTACTTAAAACCAGGTACATTTGAAAAGATGCTTTGGTTCCAYCTACAGTTTCTAGGCTTTATAATAGCCTAGCAATAATAGAGCATGACCGGGGCAGCGTTTGAGGGTCTTCAGCCTGGTTGAAGATGACACTAAGTGGCTCARACTGTAGCAAGGTAGATTGACTGTTGCAAACATAAAATTAATAACATCAAACATAAGATTAATAACACCAAAAGATAATTGTGACACAGTGCCATCCTGTGGACACTGAACAGCTATAACTGTGGCTGTGTCAGGACAAAAAAGATGTCCTGAATGTTTCAAAGGAGATATTCACTTTRGAGTGTAAATGTAGTCCTGACATATTTCCATCCTTTCTAGAAAACAGATTGCCCTTCTGGAGGACAGGATGATTTCTGCAGAGAGCAATGTTTTGAGGCAGCTGACAACAGTTTCTGCCAGTGCGGACAGTTCTGATGAAAGGTCAGTGCTTTGATGTGCCCGTGAAAATCTGCGCTTGACTGTGGTCAATAATATATACAATAAAATAAAACATGTTGAAATGAAAATATTTCCCAGATAGGTGACCAGGATAGAACACCTTCTAATAAGTTGAACAATGTTTTCTTTAACTTCATACTGTAGAACAAAGCATTTAAGCTCGCACAACAGAACAGATCTCAGTCCCTGTTCTGCATTGTGCCACTGGGAGAACGGAGTCGGGGATCCATTCAGTTTACTTGGAGTGTCCAGTGTTTGGACACTTGGAGTATCCATTCAGTTTACTTGGAGTGATGCCAGGCTGGGTGTCAGAGGCTTCATTTTGAATTGTTAGAAATAATTCTCTAAACTGGACAGCAAGCAAGGGAATTGCAAAAGGAACGGCTAAGAATGGAGTTAAATTGCAGGAAACTACCGATTACCCATTTGCTGTTAAATCTTTTTGTAAATGATTCTGATTTTGCATTTAAATGTCAAATCCTCTATCTTGCCTAAAAAAGCCAGACTTATTCTATTACGCTTCAGCACCTTGACCTGTGAAAAAGTCTCTCTCGGTGGGAGCTGACAAACACCAGATGGCACTCCTAAGAAGAATTAGACTTTAGAAAGATATGTTGCATAGAACTCAAAAGGAGGGAGAAACTTTTGAATAATTTATTGTATATTTGGAATAGCTGACTCAAGCAGGAAGCACAGACTATCTGTGGAGTTCCAATTTGAGACCAGAACCCAAATGGTAGAGAAGACCAGTCCAAACACCAYGAAATAAATTTAGGAGAAAATATAGGTCACTCCATACATCACAACCATTTAGAAAGCAGATCTTGGGTGGAAAAGGAGGCAGTGACACCGTATGTACACCAAAATTGGAAATCCAGAGGAAATGCAGAAGCTGTTGAGAAATCCTTAAAATAAACTATAAGTAGGTTTGCATGCRTCGGAAGGACTAGATGTGGTCTGGAAGTAAACATAAACCTAACTGGTTTCTTGGTTATAGATTAAGCTGCACAGAATACATACAGGAAGGAAAAGCGTTTCATAAAAGCCTGTAGGTGAAACAAAAGAAACTTGACAATACATAAAACACATAAACACTTCTCATGATAGGATTAGGCACCCAAAGACTGCCACATAGACATCACAGTAGAGAAAAGCAATTTGGGGGGGATAATTATAATGAGAGCCTGGTTACTTGCCATCTATTATCCAAAGCTAAATTGCCATTTGAAGACAGATAACTCCTTCTCTCCTTGAAGAGAAAACAGGGTAATTGTGAACATAGATACATAGTGTGCACTCATATGCTAGGGAAATCATTTCAAAAATGGGAATATGAGCTCAACTTAGCTTGAGCAACGTGTTTTTTGTTTTTGTTTTTGTTTTTGTTTTTGTTTTTTTCCCCCCTACAAGCAGTGAATTTTATCACAGCAAGGGATACAGTTTAACATCTACACAAGTAGCCCTGTTACCCTGAGGGAAGCACTCAAGAAAGGAGCCCAAGCTGAAAGTCACAGATTGTGGCAGTAGCCAAAAGCACCTGCAAGAGGGGACAACCCTCAAGCTCACAATAAAGTCACTCAGCACTTAAAGCTGGGTCTCTCCTTGCTCCTCTCATCTCTCCCATTGATGTATGCAGCAGAGGGTCTTTTTATACATCTCTGTCTCAATCCCCTATGTTCCCTATCTCATATTCCAGCCAGGAAAGACTGAATATTTCAGAATATTTCAGAATATTTCAGAATATTTCAGAATATTTCAGGTTGGAAGGGACCTCTACAGATCATCTAGTCCAACCTTCCTGCTCAAGCAGGCACACCTACAGCATGTGGCACAGGGTGGCATCCAGGCGGGTTTTGAAGACCTCCAGAGTAGGAGACTCCACAACCTC